TTTATTTCATTGATCTTTATATCTATTCTTATGCCAGTGCCCCATTCTCTTGATTAGTGTAGGTTTGTAATAAGTTTTGAAATCAGAAAGTATGAGTCCTCCAAATTTATTTTCCTTTTTCAAAATTGTTTTGGTTATTCTGGGTCCCTAAAGATTCCATGTGAGTTTTAATATCAGTTTTTCAATTTTCTGCAAAGACACCAGGTGAGATTCTGATAGGTATCGTGTTGAATCTGAATCAATCTGAGGAATATTGCCATATTAGCACCATTAAATCTTCCAATCCATGAAAAGGAGAGGTTTTTCTATTTAGTTCTTCTTTACTTTGTTTCAATAATGCTTTGCAGTTTTCAGTGTATAAGATTGTACTTCTTTTGTTAACTTTATTCCTATGTATTATTTCTGTTGCTATTTAAATGTGATTATTTTCTTAATTTAACTCTCAGATTGTTCACTGCTAGTATATGGAAACATAATTGATTTTTTGTATTGATCTTATATCCTGCAACAAGGCCCATCTTATTTATTAGTTATAACAGGTTCTGTGGTGGATTCTGTATGATTTCCTGAATATCACAGTGTATGATCTGTGACTAGAGATAGTTTTACCTCTTTCTGATGTAATGCCTTTTATTTCTTTTTCTTGTCCAATTGCGCTAGCTAGAACCTTCAGTATAAGGTTGAATAGAAGTGATGAAAGTGAGTATCCTTGTCTTATTCTTGATTGTAGGATGAAAGCCTTCAGTCTTTCACTATTAAATATGATGTTAACTATGGATTTTTCATAAATGTTCATTATTATTTGGAGGAAAGTTCCCTTCTATTTCTGGTTTGTTGAGTATTTTTTTTTCTTTTTTTTTCCACCATGAAAGGGTGTTGGATTTTGCAAATGCTTTTTTGGTGCCTGTTGAGATGATCATGTGGGATTTTATAACCTTATTTCACTAATATGGTATAATTTACATGGACTGATTTTCATATGTGAAGCAACCTTGCATTCCTGGGATAAATTGCATCTGGTAAGGTAGAAAATTTGTTTTTAATATGTTGCTGGATTTGGTTTGCTAATATTTTATTGAGGATTTCTATATTTCTGTTATTTGGAGGGGTTTGTGAAAGATTGCTATTAGTTATTTTTTAAATATTTGGTAGAATTCACTAGTGAAGCCATCTAGTCCTGAGTTTTGGGTTTTTTTCCCCCCAATGTGGGAAGTTTTCAAGATTGAATGAAGTTATTCATTAAATCTTTTTATTGTTATAGGTCTTCTCAGATTTTCTATTTCTTCTTCAGTCAGTTTCTATAGCTTGTGTCTTTCTAGGACTTTGTCCATTTCATCAGGTTATGTAATTTATTGGCATACAATTGTTGATAATATTCCCTTTTAATCCTTATTTCTGTAAGACTGTTAGTAATATTTCTTCTTTCGTCCATGATTTCAATAATTTTAATCTATTTTTTTCTATTTTAAGTTTTTTCAAGGAAAATGTGTTGTTGTATAATGTATAATTTTAAAAAGAGAAAAAAAAATGGAAGGCACGAAATAAAAAGGCATATTAAAGATATGGGTATATTGGTAACTCCCTGGCTGTCTTTGTGGATTTCAGCTTCTTTATTAGGAAACTGAGAAGTTGGGTTACTGTTGCTGAAGTTGTTGAAAGCCTCTGGACTATCGTATTTCTATGTTGGAGCATGGGATTAAAGGACATAGATGGGAATATTAGTGAACAGAAAATAGACCAGTCTGTGAGGAGCCCGATATTCCTGAAGGAAATAGTAGGAAATAAGAGTGGAAATACAGATTAGAGTCAGATTATGGTAATATTTGAATGTCAGTGTGAGTGATTTGGATTTGCTTTATAATCAGTGGAGAGTATTAAGGATTTGAGGCTTATGGATTAGCCAGTCAAGGTGATAGTCCAGGAAATTGGTCTGATAGTGGTATGTGGGAAGGGTAAAAGCTAGAGGATCACCCAGGGACTTGTCCAGGTATAACAGGATGAGAACAATGACAGTGAAAATAGAAAAAGGAGCAATAAAGACCAGAGATTGTCTCCAAATTGGAAAGCACTCCATGTTTCAGAAGGGGAAGGGAAGAATGAGTTGTCTTGCTCACCTGCATGTCCTTCACAGTTAGTGGTTAGGCACAGAATAGGTCCAAAGTAAGTATTTGTTAAATTGAACTGCGTTAACCAGCCTTGCTTCAGAGTTTAATGAAGGCTGGGGAAAACAGCCTTTAAGTACTCTAAGAAGACTTACAGGACAGCCTTTCAATCTGGCAGATTCCAGGCATTGTCCATCTTTTTACTTGTCACCCAGGCATCTATATGTGCTAGTTGCAGCATTAATGAAGAAAAGGTACACATTAGCCTGCACAGATTGTTGGACAGGGTTGATAATGGCTCCGTGGTCTGACATTTCAGACCAGATAAGTTTATGGGCTGACCTGTGTCAATGCACTGTGACATACTAGCAGACAAAGACCTTTCTCTGCACAGAACAGGGAAGTTCTCAAGAGCAGAGATCTGAGGTTAGACCAGAAAATCTTATCACTAGGCCCAGGGGATCTTTTGTGGGAACCTGAGATCAGGAGAAGAACAATTAGGCCTTATGTGGGACCTTTTTCTAGGCTAAGAAACATCTTTTCTCAAATGTCAGCTCTATAAAGGGCAGTGATTTCTGTCTTTTTTATTTGCTGATGTATCCCTAATATCTGGCACATTATTGGCACTTGGCATAGATTTAATGAATTAATTAATTGGTTAGTAGTTATTTTGGAGGAAAGCAGTATCTTAACCTAAGGAATAAGCTTCTGGGATTGGGGTAGAGTAGATGAAGTTGTCTTCTCAAAAGTTCTTTGTGAAGGATCCTGATACATGGGCCTTTGGTTATAGCCAGAAGGGACTTCTCTACCAAATTCTTTATAAGGAATCTGTTTTTACTTGGCTGCAGTTGCCTTCATCTTCTCTCACTGTTATTTGGAATGACAGTGTCATGGTATATAGCTGGAACCTAAATGTGGTTCTGTTTCTGCCTTTACATCTGCTCCCCCTTTCCTTCCTTCATATCCTGTGTTCCTTTCCAGTGGAGTTGTTCAAAATATTCATCCTATTCCAGCTATCCAAAAGCCAACATTTGGACCTGACTTTTCTTAAACTCCTAGGAAGAAAAGAGAGGATTCTTATTCCTTAAAGGCCTGCCTTTGTTACCCTTTCCATAGCAGGATTTAGCTTGCTTTGTGAGAAGCAGGGAAAAGCTAATGGATTATTAGAGAATGAGGTTTTCATTGTTACAAATAGACAGCGTCATGTATATGAGATGTTTGTTTCAGTGACTTAAATAACTTTTTTGCCCAGGTCCATTCTTTTGAATAATCATCTCTCATATTGCCTGTTGACTGAATTAAAGGACAGCTATTAGCATATTGAAAACACAAAGCTGACCTTTCAGAAGCTGGAAAGAGATTTATAATGGAGCACTTGCAGAGGGTGATAGGTTTTGGATGGAGATACATTTTGCAAATTTGGCTACGTATGCAAAGTACATAAAAACAGAATTAACCCTATTTGCTTTGGCCTATGACAATTCAGTCATATGTTGATATGTGCTGGTGACTTCTCTAACTTCACTGAGTGGTAATCATGCTTCCTCACTTCCTATGAGAAAAAGAAAGAAGGAAGAATATACAGAGTTGGAAAGTAACTGTCATCCCTCTAGTTCTATGCCAAAGCCTCTTCCCCTCAGTGATTACCCACCAAAAGGCTTTTCTGATGGCAGAAATAGGGATGCATCTAAATTGTTGGATCTCAGCTTCTTGAGGCAGGAATGTGGAAAAATCTGGGGGTTAAGGAGGGAAAATATGGAGAGTGTTTTCAACCTGTTGAGACAACTGGCAAGCTCTTTGGCTAATTACCTCTGACAGATTTTGTCACTCTGCCAAACAGGCCCACTCTTCTTTTCCTTCCTGCCTCCATGGTTTCCCCACTTCCTAGGACTGCAGGGGTGGCAGGAAGGGCCATCTTCTTGATTTTCAGTCAAAGTCATCTAGCAGATCCAAAGACATCTGACTTGGCCTTCCCAAAGGTTTTTTTTCTTAGCTTCTCTCTGCCTTCGTGATTTAGAATGGACAGTCTCAACCGTTACTAAATTTATCAATTTCTGATGATTCTAATAATTGCCCACCCATCTTGGCCCAAGCCATTTCCTTTTCTTTTCCTGTCTTCCTTAGAGCCAGAGGCACAAAGATGCTGACACTGACTAAGAGCATAGGCTCTGGAGACACTGCCTCCTATCCCAGCTCCTCTGCTTCCTAACTGTGTGACTTGGGACAGATTGCTTAACTTCTCTGAGCCTCAGTCTCCTCTTCTGTGAAATGGTGGTAATAGTGATACTTAACTAGCAGTGCTGAATACAGTATATTGTAAGCTCTTAGCACAGTGAATGGTATATAGTTGGTGCGAATTAATAGTTATTGCTAGTATGTGGTGGGGAAATGTTCTCCCATCCCCATCCCAATCTTTAAAAGGTAGAGATTTTTGCATGTCCAAGACATTTTACAGTCAAATTTTGATGATTATTTTTATATCTTATCACAGAAATCAACACTGACATTGTTTTCGAGATACCCGCTCTAGCATTTAACTTGGCCTCTATATTTGCAGGTGCATAAATGCTGTGTTTTACAGCAATCCAACTATGGCTCTCAAGATGTATAGCTTAACCTTTTTTAAAATCCAGTTGTGCCACCTAGATGTGCTGTAGCATGAATGAATCTAGTTACTCCACTCTATTTACAGATAGGTCGCCAGAGGCCTATAGAAAATTAAACCCATGCCCAGGGCAAAAAGTCACACTAGAGTCAGGTTTGGAATCAGTTTGCAGAGGTCTCTGGTTGAAGGTTCTCTGAATACCTGAGAAATTCAGTTTGTCCTTTTTCTTACTGTCTGGAAACCTCTCAAAGAAGGAAGCTAACTCATTATTTTTCTTTTGCCTGTTTCCACAGCTCTGGGTGAACCAGGAAGATGAGGTGGAGGAAGGGCCCAGTGATGTGCAGAACGGACACCTGGACCCCAACTCAGACTGCCTCTGTCTGGGGCGGCCACTACAGAACCGGGACCAGATGCGGGCCAATGTCATCAATGAGATCATGAGTACCGAGCGTCACTACATCAAACACCTTAAGGATATTTGTGAGGTAACCATGGTGGTTCATGTGGAGACGCTTCGTGAAGAACTGACAACCCTCCTGGGCCCTGCCTGTGACAGTCCCAAGATGTTGGAAAGGGCACATACCCTCCCAGATTCTGTTCAGTGAGGCAAAACTGCTTCCTTGTTTCTCAATCTCTGTTTTTCACATTTTTCTCTATCTGTCTAACTTAAATATTTATTTGTTTATATACATTGTCTTTCTTCCTTTACCCTTTCTTTGTGTCTTCCTCATTTTTTCCCCTGAATCCCTACTTTTATCTTCTTGGTTTCTGATCCAGTTGCAGCCATCTCATTTAAGGGCTTAACCTCACTCATTAAAGCAAAACGCATCTCCCACAAAGCCAGTGATTCGTAGACTTCAACATACACCAGAATTTCTGGGGGAGCTTCTTAAGCAGCCCTCTCATTCTTGTCCCCCAAGTCATGAATTATCAGTCTCAGGTAAAGTATGAACATTTTTAGGTTTAATGAGCATCCCTGGTGATGCTGATGCTGCTGGTTCTATTCTCTCACTTGGAGAACACTAGTTGTGAGTTTAAGCAGAAAAGAGCTTGGAGACAGCAGTCTACAGAAGACAAAGGCTGGATGGACAAACATTGGCTTCTTTAGTATGTCACTTTTTTCCCCAGGAGATGTCTCTCTAATTCCTAACCCCATTACTTTCATCTCGCTGTCATAAGCGAAGATGAGAGCCTTTTCCCTCATAATCTCTTAAGCTTAGTAGATGCAAGTTGGCATTTTCAAAGGGCATTTTACTGAACAGGAAGGGAAAACCAATGGGAAATGAAGGCAGTGTTTTTAAAAGGA